CCTCCCTGCCTACCTGCCTGCCTGCCTACCTACCTGCCTACCTACCTACCTACCTACCTACCTAGCTAGATTGATTCAGGTTTCAACGCTGCTCCAACTCAACACATCAAGCCTGCAGGCAGCAAAAGGAGTCCTCGACATTCACCTGCCTGCGGCCGCTTGTCTGGAGAGACACGCATGCCATGCCCCCCAAAAACCTGCAAGAATCTGGGAAGAGAACTGATTAATCAACGACTGTGCCCAGACTCTGCTGCTTCACATGCGTGATCCGGTCGGTTTGAGAGAAGCGTAGTGGCGAAGAGAGGACGGCAGGTTACTAGGACAGAACGGAACAACCATTGCCGAGGCTCCTGCGAAGCTTGGAACGACCACAGCCTTGGGTGAGGCAATGCACGAGACAGCGATGAAGCGTCTGCTTTCAGTGGCTGAGAGGCCTTGGAGACCTTGGGCTTGGCTTTGCCAGGCGAGGCAAAGGCCTTGTGACCCCGAGCAGCCGTGGAAGGGACCTCAGTATTGAGGTCCCTTGGTCACCGCAGCGGATGGGGACTTCCGGAGCCTGTGGCCCGGAGACGGTGAGGGCGAAGGAAAGCGGCAGGGAGGATGTGCACCTCAGGTCCTGAGTTCGAGCAGCTGACAGTGGCCATCATAAAGGAAGCTCGTGAAACAGGCCATGCTGAGATGCCGAATGCAGCGAAGGGGTTGATTTGCTACGGGAAGAGCATTCGTGCAGATTTTGGCTTCAGGCAGTCTCGAAAGGGCACGTTTGCTGGCCCAGGCCTTGCCATTGGCACAGGGATGAATCCTCCCTGCAAGAGTTTCGGTCTCGAATTTGAAGCGAAAGCTGGGCCGTAGGGTGCATGATCCTCCAGGAACGATGCAGGATCTCAGTCGTGAGGAGAATCGAAACTATACGTCTCGAACAGGCACTCAATGTTGCGTGGCAAAGCAGCTACCTACGCTACGCTCGTCGTGGTGACGGTGTAGCCGCGAACCCGGTGACATCACTCCATGCCACGATATTAGTTCATGCCAAGATACCTGCTCCGAGAGGACATGCATGGATGGATGGATGGATGGATGGATGGATGGATGATGGATGGATGGATGGATGGATGGATGGATGGATGGATGGATGGATGGATGGATGGATGGATGGATGGATGGATGGATGGATGGACGGGTGGAGGGATGGACAGATGGACGGACGCAGGCAGGGATGGATGGATGGATGGATGCAGGGACGGATGGATGGATGGATGGATGGATGGATGGATGGATGGATGGATGGATGGTGTATGGCTTTATGTAGGTATGTAGGTACGTGGGCATCACATGCGTGTATGTATGTTTTCGGAAAGCAAGGAGGGTTATGGTAGCGGAATTGAGCCCTCGTGGACCATATTGCAAGACTCTATGGCTGTGCAATGACATTCGGCAGATGTCTCGTCCTCGCATGCACCGGTCTCCACCGATTAGGTTTATGGCCTCCGCTACATGTGGACCTCTCTGAGCGGCCACAGGAAGCGCTGAACTCTCTCAGCCATTTGGCTGGGCTTGGCACCCGATTGAACCATGCAAGAAACCCTCAAAGAAAAGGAATCCTTGCACCCCAAAGCAAGCAACAATAAAAGAAGAAGAGTAAGCAAGCAGACTCCGCGCTCCCTCCGCGCTGCGTCGTGGGGGCCTTTCCATGCGCATGGCGAGGGCCTCGTACCACTTCGTCGGCGGCGACGCCGAGGCGACGCAGGGCGGGGTTAGCGAAATGCAGAAAAAAACATGGGCGCGACGGGTCTCAGGGTCTCAGCATGCAGAGGACATGGACATGGTGAAGCTCCCGGGCCTACTGCCACGCCTCCCATTGCGTGATGACACCAGTGATTGTACAATGGCCCTTGTCTTTCCTCGAGAAGTGGATCAAGATAAGATCGTGGAAGAACCCTATACGATGCTGAGGAGAATCTTCATTGCGACCGGCAACGAGCACAGCACAGACAAGTTTGAGGAGCTAAGTCAAAGACTCAATGACGAGGCTCTCCCTCTGGCGGAGTACCAAACACATGTCAGACGCTTCCTGATAGAAATTGTCGCGGAGTCCGGCTTGATCATGTCAAGCTTTCCCAGCGTGGACGAAGATGAGGATTTCCTGAAGATTTATCTGCCGCTCGATGGCTCGGTGATTCAGCACATGGCGGAGCATCTAGAGTACACCATGCCCTACAAAGAGAGTGTGTATGAGCAGGTCAAAAAGCACGGTCCCTATCCCGGTAAGGAGCCCATGAGAGACATCGAGCTTCGACCCTTGGTGGCCTGGGACAAGTTCACGGTAGAGGACGCTGGCCGATTCGAAGACTTTTGCATGAGGGACTCCATTCGGATCTTAGAGTTCTGGCTGGACCAGTGGGTTAGCCTGGATGAGATGGAAAGACAAGGCCGGGAGCCCTGCTTGCTGCTGCTTGCCGCTGCTTGCTGGAGGTTGATTCGATCTTGCTCTGCAGGTATCATCAAATGCTACTTTCCTTGCCCAGAAGGTGACGCACTGAAAAGTTTGCACAGCCACTTTCTGAACCTGTGCAAGTGGGTACATTTCCAGGGAGAGCAGGCAGACGAGCTTCGTGGCCTTACAGCATTCCCTTGCCAGACGCATGGTGTCTGTGTGAATAGGGGGGTCCTTGAAATGCCGAGATGGTATTGCTCTCTGAGTGTACAAGGCAAGTACTTCGGCGAGGAGATTGGCTTCTACTTCCGCTTTCTGGGATACGTGTGCGCCTAGTCGATGTCAATACAGTTACAGAAGTGTGCCCTAAACCCAATCTGCGAGTCTCCACTCGCAAGTCGCCACCTGTGGTTGCATGCTGGCAGCACGTTCTTTCAAAGGTCATGCGATGTCATTTCTTGGCATCGTGGGCCTGGTGATCTATGTGTCCCGCCACCCAGCCTGGCGCCACTCGTTTCCTTTAGAACGTTGCGAGCTGCGGTGTTGTGCCACATGACTCAGATTCGGACAGCTACATTCCGCAGCAGTCCATGGGATATCTCCGCAGCGGACTGGCTCTCGTCTACTCGGTCTCCTGCCTGCCTTGTGCCGTGCCGACTTTTCCTGTCCCTCTCCTTGCCTGGTAGATGCGGTCCAAGAGCCGCGACCGAGGTGTGGGCTGCTATCCTATTGATCTTCTGGACCATTACCACTGCAAGAATCTGCGTCCGATGGGGGGTGAACGACGTAGATGCTCGCCTTCTCAGTACAAAAAAACTTTGATCTCATGGTCACAGCAGTGCCGTAAGGAAGACTACGAGCAGATCAATCCCGACTGGGACCCGAAGCCACCAAGTGCATTCCGCCCGCTCATCGTGAATGCTACCTGGCGCTGGACGTCCCTTTTTCGCCTGACGTAGCCTGACTGGTCAGCGAGAGCCAACTAACCTTAGGTCCTCACGGGCGGATACTTGGCAGCCTACGTCGGGGCCATCTCGGCCGTCCTGAACTGGCAGTTTTCATTGCAGGATGATGAGGATCCCGGCCTGGGTGCTTACGCTCCTTTGGTTCTGACCGTGTTAATCAAGTTCGGAAGTCTGTCATGGACCTGGATAGCTCCAGCCATTGTCCGTCTCGAGACCCTCGGCTGCACGTTCTCACAGAGATAGCCTCCGAGTCACGTAGCCTGTGCCGCCTGCGCAAGGAACCACCGACGTGAGGATGACAAAGTGGAAAAGCTTTCCGTCATTCTTGCTGTCGTGAAGTCACTCGGCAGGATCCAAGGACGATCGAAGTGCAAGACAGCGCACGTACTCAGATCCAGTGCGACCGAAATTCATTGCGAGACTAATCACTTGTTGGCAAGCATGGCGGCTGGAGCGCGTCACAGCTCGTCACATCTTCCCACTTCCTTCGGTGCAGCCTTCAGCCACTCACATCGCCCGACACGCTGAGGATTTTTGTGGCCCTGTTCCCGTTCATTTCCTCCTGCTTTCTGGCGACCCTCTATCAGCAGCCTGGCCGACTTGCGGTTCGAGGAAGTCTGATGCCTGGGCGATGTGAGGTCCACCTGTGGCGACACCTTCGAGGAGGCCGCAGCTGCAACCTTTCCAAACTACGCCAGCTTCGCTCCGCTCTCGGCAGAGACCATGGAGGCCGCTTCTGCAGTCGACGTCTGTCAGGTGGGGGCTCTGACTCTGCTCTTTGGCCAGGCGCTGAAGCCCTACAGCTTCGAGAAGGACGGCCGCTTCTGCTTTCATGGCTGCCACCCTGCAAGTGCCGCGGCAACGGAGGTCACTTGGCCGCTAACTTGAGCTTTCTGCAAGGCTGAGCCGAGCGACTGCTCTCAAGCCGAGGTGTGGGCTGAGACGACCTGTGACAGGAGCGTGTCTGCAAATCTGAAGACGTTCCTTGCGCGCAGATTTGTGTTTGGCAGCGGCAGCGGTGGTTCGGAACGGCTGAAGTTTCCTTCTGATTTTCTAGTTCCTTTCTAGTTGTGGGCCGGTGCCTTGAGTGTTTGCCGTGCATCCCCGGAAACCGTGACTTCAGTCATCAACAGCGGTGGTGTCAAGACATGCTTGTGCCAGCAAATGCAGTTGACCGTCGCGTCTCAGCGCTTGTTGTTGCATTTATTAAGGTACTTCTTTTTCACCGTTGCTCTAGACTTGGTGTTCCTCATCATTCCGATTGTCATATCAGCCAACGAGATTCGGCAAGAACGCCGCAAGCAAGAGAGAGCCGGCAAGGACTTCGAATACTCGCTGCTGCAGTGGGAAGCCAAAAAGTTTAAGTACGAGTGGAATTCGTGGGGTGGGGACGAGATAAACGACAATCTGGACCTTACGATGCTCGGCAGCATGGGGATTTTCCGCAACCACGGAGCCGAAGCCGACCGCTGCGGTTCTCTCCCCGAGGATCTCCTATGCCGTGGTTGTTTGCTTCGGGATCATCTCGCCGATCATGGCCACTGTTTGTCTGCTATCTCTGTTGAACCTCGGCCGACTGTTGCTGCCCAACAGCCGTTGGCTGTGCGTGTAATGGTGTAGCCGCAGTCGAGGCAGCATCAGATGGCCTTTTGCATCCAGAAGTGTAGGGCTTGCTGCCCTACCGTTTGCACGACCAGCGTTTGAGGACGGGCCCATCATAGGCGAAGGCCCTAAAGATAGCAGAGTTTCTGCAAGCAAAGCTCCAAGAGTTGGGAAGGAGGGGCAGAGGAAGAGCGGAAAAAAATAATCTTGAACACAGAGCCTCAACGGGAGCAGGTTCCACAAAAGGCCTGACACCGAACCCTACGCCACAAAGTCACAAAGACGCAAATGCCCTTTGACAAAGGCGCAGGCCTGTGGCCCTAGCGGCCCTATAGCCTGGGGGGGCATCGAACGCGGCAGCAAACGAAGAGAACATGACAGCGGCTTGCGCAGCCGAAGTAAGCACCAAAGACAGACCTATCACAAGACCCGAACCAAGACTCTGGAGTGAAAAGCTGGAGATGCAGAACACAAGCCACAGCTGGTAGCAGCCAAGGATCTCTCTCCGCTTGCGCGTCTACAGGACTGCCATGGCAGCGCGAAAAGCCCAAAGCCGAAAGCCGGCCAACGTTTCAGTCCGAAGTTCCCGAAGCGATCCCAAAGCGATCCCGAAGCGTAGAGAGAAGTAGATATTCTGGATGCCTTCGGAACATTGGGCTGGCAGGATGATCTACGCTACCCGCAGGTGGGGGAGTCGGCACGTGTAGGCGAATTTAGGGTATGGGTGGACATCCTGGGCCTGTGTCGAGGCCCCTGCCGCGGACCAGTACTGGCTTGGGTGTTTGGGAGTACATCTATACTGGGATCCTCGGCCGGATTCATCACTTGGCAAGACGGGTGCACGGGTACACCCATGGAGTGCAAGGCGTGCCTTGGATCCAGATTGCCAGAATTCTATGTAAGTGCCCAAGCAAGGGCCACGAGAGATTGTTTTTGCCCCAAGCCACTACTCGCTTTGGATTGCAACTGCATCCTTCTGCCCTGTGGGTGCTTCGTCCCGCGGGCTCCAAAGTTCAGGCGACATCTATGCGGTTTCAGCCGAGCGTTGCATCGCGACGAAGTGCAGATTTTGTCAGACGGCTGCTGTCAGCGGCAGTAGAGGCACCAAAGTAAAAGACACGCACCGCGTAGGTGTACATGATGTCTACCTTGCAGTATGGTGAGTATGTTACCTGTGAACCCAAACTGTACTGGCAGCTGTGGAACTTCAAAAGTCACAGCATACAATTAGGAAGTATCGCAGCACGAGGATCAACATGGTGGCCGTGGTGATCAACGTGGGGCTGGCAGCCGTGTTTTTCTATCCCATGCGTGTGAAGCCAGCCAGTGGCAGGGCTACAGTCAGTCAGAATCTGCCTTTGATGATTCGCTGCAGTCGTAGCTGCAGCCACAGCGGAAGGTGAAAAGTTCATGATCTTCGTCATCGGCGAACACGTGGTGTTGCTTGTCCAGTTTATCTTCAGACTCATTGTGCCTGCCAAACCGGCAGATATTTCTCACATTGTGTCTCGTCCGCAATTACCTCACCTCCACGATGCTCTGCCGATCTCAGGGGACATGTTCTTCTGACAAACTGTCCAAGGAGGCCTACAACATGCATGTCAAGAAGGTGCTGCGGACCGAGCGGTCTGGCATGAAGCGTTTCGAAGGCTTGAGAACACCTGCAAACATCAATTTGGATGTCATTCCGGACGGCGTACAAAGTGACGCCGATTCCAGTGACACGGCCAATGAGGGCTGCTGTTAAGATGAGGTTGCAATGTTCGCCTCTGGCCCGATACAGCCCGATACAAGGCTTGCTTGAGTTCCGGATTTGTGGGAGGCTGCGGCTGCGGCAGCGGCATGTGGCCCTCGAATCGCGACGATCAACCGAGCCAATGCACCCCCTTGTCGCTTCAAAATCAAAAAGCATGCCCAGTGTTGGAACTCAGCTCAGTGCTGAGGAAGCTGAACCGCTTTCCATTTTCTCTTGTCTTTGGTCGTAACCCTGGTCTTGCAGTGTATACGTCGTGCATCGAGGGGAGGATCGTTATGTGTCTGGCGACACCAAGATCACAAGTTGGGCAGCGATGGCAGCTGTATGACAGTGCATTGCGCTTGAGAGTCGGACATTGGTCGTGCCTCGCTGACCCGGCACAAGCAGTCGACGCAGCCTTCGGGTTGGCGACATGAAGCGATCAGTCGAGGACGGCCTCTCTCTCTCTCTCTCACCTGGTCATGATCCGCGTGCATCTTGTATCTGTGTATTTAGGGAATCGCCCGACGAGAGCGGCCCCCAGGTCTCTGGCTTCCTGCTTGCGCTGCAGTCCTCCCCGTGGCTTCCTCCCGACGACCCGGCGGACGGTCACGAGGCCCCGGAGGCGGCCCAGGCCTCAGAGGCGGAGCCGAAAAGAGCCAACGCTCGCAGCTCGAGCCGAGGGGGGTCTCTGCTGCCCGGCCGAGCTGGTCGCCGGCACTGCGGCCGTCCGTGCAGCGCTGCCGGCTGCTGGGCAGAAACCGGCCTGTGCAGTTCGTGCGGGGGGGGGAGTTCTCTGAGATTCTCTGAGAGTTTGAGTTCTAAGGATGCCGCGCTGCTGAAAGGCCGCCTCTGCTCCGCCGTCTCGGGCCGCAGCCTGACCTCCAAGCGATTCCGCTGATCGCTTTCACGGGCTCTTCGCTCTGAGGCGCCTTCGCAGAGGCTTTGGGCGTGGTCACAGAGCCATCTGTGGAGCTGGTGATGAAGGCCTGTAGAGCAAGTGGCGAAGGCTGCTGCTACTCGAGTTCAACGCCCACGCCCCCAGGTGCTACGTGGCTTCGTGACACACAGCCCGGTCGGGCCTGACAGCGCAACCGCAATCTACGGATACCTAGAGCGAGAAGGCCGCATCGCTTTGCGATTTGTAGGGCAGCAACTAAACAAGCTCTCTCACTGCCTCTATGCGTGCACAGCAACCAGGTGCCGACTTGGCAGAACTGCGAAGGATGCCGCCACCACCTCTGATGAGAGATCCACTGGACGGACCAATGAGAAAGGGGTCTCAACATGCAAACTCCTGACTGGAGCAAGGTCCGTCGTAGTCGCGGCTGGAGAAGCAGCACGCGTCCCTGCTGACGTAGTGTGGGAGGAGCGGGGGATGAGGAAGCGATTGATGCGTTCAGTGGGTTTTCTGCGCGCTGTTACGTGCAGGATGCCAACTGCGACCTTCCGGCTTTGCAGCAACTGTACAGTGTCGCTGCCTCAGAAAAGGGAGGAGTAACCTCAGTGCAGAAAGGCCATATGTTTCGCGTGAGTTTGTTCTAGCGGCGGGTGAAGGTACGGTGGCGTCGATTTTTCGTCATTGGCCTGGGAGTGCCCGAGCGTCCCACAGCCGAGCAGGCCACGGCTTTGTAGGAAAGAAGAAGCCTTTCAAGCACGTCCGGTTGCCACTCCGAAAGAAACAGAGACATCTCTTTTGACATCTCATTTGAGAGCGCGCTGCAGGTCCTCAGGCGCCTGGACCAGCTCAGTGCAAGCAATGAGCCGAGCGCTGCCCTCTGGCCGTTCCTTGGCGGAAGGGACAGGCCCTTTTTGGGGACTTCGGCTAAATGAGGCTTCCGTCTCGCTTCGTCTAACTGTAGAAGCCCCAAACCTGCAGCCCCAATTCTCAAGACCGCGAGCTTCAAAGAGAGTGAGCTTCTCCGAGGCTTCTCCTGCGTGTGGCAAAGGACAGTTTTCAAGGGGGATTGGTGGATTTTCCTGGTCGCAGGTTCATTGGTTGGCACATTGACTCCGCAACCACCTCAGCAAGTCTGTAAGACAGGGCCCAATGCGTACTTTTCATGGGAGGAACTCTCAGATCCCTCGTCAGCTGACGCAGAAGGCTCCAGTCTTCCCAGCCATGACCTGGTTCAGCGTCGAGTTTGCCGGCTTGCAAGATTGGGGCAAGCAAGGCCCCCCTGTCTGCCTAGAACCGACATGATAAAAACGCCTGGCAGCTTGGGCCGCTTTGCCAGCGGCACTCGCGGCCCGTCGTTGCGTGCCGCTGCAGCTGGGCGGTTTGGGCGCTCCGAAAGAAGGTGCGAAGCAGTGCCGCCAGGGAGAGGGCCAGGGCCAGGGCCATGCCGAGCTCGCGCTCGCGCTGCGCTGCGCGCTGCGCTTTGGCTTTGGCTTTGGAGGCGTCCTCCTCGAGGATGCGGAGGCTCTGGGGGTGCCGGAGGCGGCTCTGGCCATGCTGAGGGCCCAGGCGCCGCTGGCGGCCCCAGCACCAAAAGCGAAAGACGCGGAGCCTGGAGCCCAGAAACGGCTGCCTCTTCCGGTGCATGTGGTTGGGCGCTGTCAGGCACTGGCCGGTCTTGGCCGAAGCACTGAAGCTACAAAGCTTGAGCACGGCCGGGGCCTGCTTCAAAGAAGATCGTGCAAGATTCGCAGCTCTGCAGGTGTGCTCCATCACCTCAATCCACGGCGGCGAGGAGAGACCGGCTCCTGCCGGGATCTCAGAGGAAAGCGGGACCGTGTCATGGACATTTATGCACCTCCAGTGACCAGGTGATTGCAAAAGCTGTTGCTTCGCTGCTGCCGCTCGCACAACGGTTCCTCATCCACAAGCACCGAGCCGTCTATGATGCTGTCAATGCTTCCCGGATTCATGAGAGCAGAATGTACTCTGCATCTTTTGCCGAAGCTGCTTTCCGCCCAGGCGACATGTTTGGCCACCAAAGTGGAGAAACTCATTGTCCGTGTGACTTGATTGCTCTATAACGGGTGTTTGCGCGCAGAGACGGTCGCTTGCACGCGCAGAGTGTGTCAGGAAGTAGATCCACCATTGAAGCTTCGCTGCGTCTTCTCGGTGGTGCCTGGCCAAGATCCAATCCAGGTGGAGTCCCCTAAGCCCAAACAAGTCTCGTCCCAGCTTTGCAGTCTCTTGCAACTTTCGCACCATTGGGATCGCTTGTCAGGCGGAGGTCGAGAGTGACTGCTACTTGGAGGTCAGGAGCGCCTTTGCCTGCAGCCAGCCGACGGGAAGACTGCCCACTGCCCTATCCATGCTCGCTGGTCCCGGCGTTGAGGTGGGCGTGTGGAGGCCGCTACATCCTATGAGGCTTGGCTGCGAGAAGTCCGATGAGAAAGACTGGAAGCGCAAGCTGTGCGACCATTCGACTCGACAGACTGCTAGCTGCTGGCACAAGGAAGTGCGACTGCGAATGCTGCCCGGAGCCACACTCCCTGCGCTTTGTGTGGAGTTGGCACGACTGTTGCTTCCTCCGGCGAAGCCAGCAAAGCAGGAGACCGTACCTAGATCGCTGGAGTTGTAACGAATCGTAGAATCTGAGAGAACCTTTTGACTTGAGAGAAGGGTTGATCTTCAATTCCAGCCTCGATTTTGACAGAACTACGCGTGGGCTGGGCCTCACCATCAGGGATGGAGGGGCAGCCTTGTGATTCACCCCCAAACTTTCAGCCGAAACAAGTTCTCTAAAGAAGATATCCAGCGTGGACGGAAGGACGAGGCGAGGCTGCGACAGACACGCGAGGTGGCAGCCTGCGAGACTTTGTTTTTGTGGTTGTCGCGTTGCACGTCGACCAGGCCTTGGCCACCTTTCTGGCTTCGGCAGCCTTGGCAGGGGCATCGGGTGCCTCATCGCTCTGCGAGGCCAGAAGAGCACGGACATTGGCCTCTCGCAGAAATGCTGCTCAAAATAAGTGACCAGAAGCAGAGAGGCCCTGCAGATCCCAGCGTTGCCCAGTGAGGCCAGCAGACAGCCCATTCGGCTAGTCTCAGCCACGGATGCTTAGACGAATTCTCCAGGACTCAGCTGACTATACGTCACCCTGGCCGATGCCGAAGGAGGCAGAGCTTTGGTGGTTCTCACAGGCTTCACGAGGGAGGAGCCCAAGCCGCGCGAGGTCGCCGAGCAGCTGGAGTTGGAGCGCCGGCTGCTCGAGGCGGCGCAGGCTGGGCTTGGGCGTCTCCTTCCCCGCGCAGAAAAAAAGCCGTAAGAAGGAGCATTCACGTTCAATCGTGGCAGGAGACCGAGCCTGAGAGGCTTCTGCCGCCAAAGGACGAGGCACTTCCCACATGAAGGCTTGGGACTCATCCTGCCGTGATGTGAGAGACCAGCAGGAGGCACCTGCAGAGCCTCCGAGCAAGAGAGCGCGGACGGAGGGGCCTGAGGCCACCTTTGTAAGTGCAGGGCAATTGGGCTTGGCCTGAGGGGGGGTCTCAAGGCCAGCGCCAGGGCTTTTTTGCTCAGCCTCAGGCCGTGGTTGCGGAGGCTGCGATGTTAGAAGGCGCCGCAAAGGCCGGCGGGGAATTCATCTCTTCCTGTGAGAGGCGCGATCCCCTTGACAGGACCGCTTGGCAGAGATGGATCTCGGAGAGGAGCGGAAGCGCGGGCAGCGCGGTCACAGAGGAAACTGTCTGCAGTGAGGAGCACGAGACCGGCTCAGCTGCCAGAGACGAGGCTACATGCCGGAAGTCAGGAATGTCAAGTCTTGACACCTTCGATTACCAAGCCTCGCCAAGAATCTTCATGCCGCTTGAAGATGCCTTCCGCATCTGGAAGCTTTGCAAAGCCGTTGCTGGCTACTTCCAGGCGGACGCTGGTGCTGACCCGGCTTCAGGCACTGCCTTGGAAGAGGCGCATTTGTCTTGGTCGCAGCTTGACATTGATTTTCGCTGGCCTCACGTCGGCGGCATATGCGTCCTCATTGCAGTGGGTCAGAATTCTCATGCAGAGGTGAGTGAGACCGACATGAAAGATGCAGAGGCGTTGTTAAAGGCCGGCAAAGGGTTCAACCTGCAGCTGTGCAGTGTTACATCCACCTCTGCATCAGAACATCAGCGTGATCGACCAGCAAATTGGGGAGAACGGTGAAGGCGTGAGCTTCGCAACACTCGATCGAGCACCGTGGCATGCCAACTCTAAAGGAGGTACTCCAAAAGTCAGCATCTCTCGGTGTCTCGCCAGGAAAGGGCCCTGGCAAAGGAAAGGGCAAGAGCAGCGGCAAGGGAGGTGACAAACCAGGCAAGGGCGACAAGGACCTCCAAGCGACTTGGTAGATGTCGGTCCAACCGACTTTCTGGCACCAGGAGCGCGGTGCAGCGGAGTTGGGACGCATCTTGGACCGACTTCCAGGCCGGCGCTTGTATGTCCACCGTCTCCTCTGATAGCACTTGCTGTGATTCGAGAAAGCCCTCCAAGAATAGTCCCGTGGCTGTGCGGAGGTGTCTCGAATGCTCCGGAGGACGAGTCTTCGGAGGTGGGCTCACTAGATGTCAGGGATGCGCATCTGTCTCTATTCTTTGTGCAGATTCCACACACGAATCGCTGAACACAGCATTGAGGCAAAGAAGGAGAAAGCGTTTAGAACTCGCGTGTACGATTTGGAGGATCTTCGTGTCGTGCTCTGAGTGCGCTGACCCCTTGAGTCATTTCGACTTTCCTAGTCGATACGAGGCCCAGTCAAAGAAGATGCGTCTTGGGCCGTTGCCGAACCGGAACGACTTGCCACAGGAGGACTTTCAAGCGAGTGAGATGGCTTTCCACGGGATCCCGTATAGGGCTATGTACGTATATGCCACAGGTGCTAGGTCATCGGTAATGTGTACTTGCAGATGCTTGTCCGATGAACCCGAGTGCGGCTGATTAAGCCCAAATTTTCGAGGAGCGTGAGAAGGTTGGGCGTTGGGGCGAGCAGAGACTTGGCTTCACGTGGTTCTTCCGACGGTTTAGGTTGGCAGATCCAGATACAGATAAGGTTCGTCTACGAGTACTTGCAGAAGAAACTCGAGCATGAGGACTGTGCTACAGCTTTGAAGGGAGTCTCGCGACAGTTACCCGTGTCCGGCCATTTGAGCCAAGAGCAGAGTTGCAGACCTTTTGTGCTCTGGCCTGGCCCTCGTGACTCCACGGCTCTGGCCCTACCCCAATGCTGCCTTCGGGCTTCGGGTGCCAGGACAGCCAAAAGTGCCGATCTCACTTATTGCGAATAGTTTTTGTGTGAGGCCCGATTTGATGGCAGCTTTTCGTAACCTTGGCTCAAGGCGCGTGATCTGGGTCAACGAGGTGGAGGACCGGTTTATCCAAAGCCTGTTGTGGCGACTGTGGTGAAAACCTCGTTCCGGCTTTGGGCGGTTGGGGCCACTTTGGGTGGCAGCCGTTTCGAGCTGTGGATCGCAGGAGACTGGCTTTCAGTATGACCTGCGAATTGAGGCGGGCTCCGAGCAGTCCCCTGCAGCCTCCATAGCGTTTGTACCTTTATACCCATGACAACTGTAGATCACTCGTGACATGCAGGACAGCAGCAGCGGAGATGTAGAGGCCTATGTAGAGGTCAAAACATCGCGTGCCAAGGACTGCTTTTGACAGTGCTCAGTGGAGAGTCGCAGTTGGCAGCCTTGACAAGCAGTGGGAGTGTCCGATGCTGGCTCATGCTCAGCAGCTCGTCGTGCTCCTACGGGCATCGGAATGCAATCTCACCGAAGGATGAAACACAGGATGCTGTCACGTGAGGGGATTGACCAGTTGCCATGTTGCAAGGACAAGCAGCTTTTCGAGCAGCTTGGAAGCACACAGCCGTGCTGCGCCTGTAGTCTTGTTTGCAGTGTAGATGCTTGAGGATGAGCTACAGAGAGTGGACGTTTGCGCAGAAGGAGGGAGTTTTCGATCCTGAAGGCATCGTGTGCATTGGTGTCCCCCTTTGGTCGCAATGAGGAGGGAAGCAAGTTTGTCATCTTTCGGGTTTCCAACGCTGGCAAGGCCGTCTCACTCTTTTTCGTGCCGGTGTCACGCTGTGTTGCTTGTTTCTGCTTTACAGGAAGATGTCGAGCTCTGCTCAATTACGAATCCCTTCCGACAGTGGAAGGCACGCTTACTTGGTCCTTTTCATGCCCCACTTTCCATCTGCTGCCCTGGCAGGAGCTGAACTTGGGTCTCTGCTTGACTTTCTGAGATCCCTTGAGGCTGAAGCGATTATCAGCTGCCGTGTACCGACACCGACACCGCGATGCACCTCCCGCAACAGGCGTGTCTACGTGTGCTCAGCGAGACCACGCCGACAAGGAGCCCAGGCCCTTCGCAGTGATTACGGCCTCGAAGTTCGTCGTAACAGTGTCAAAGAGCAAATCATTGAGCAGGTGCAGATCGAGCCGGCGCTTCAAGGGCACTTAGGCCACGTTGATTGAAATGGTTAAGTTGTTGATGTGCTCGGCGACATGAGGGGAAAGAGCTTCTACAAGGTAGAGCTTCCAAGAAGATCATGCCACCATGCAAGACCGCAAGTCTTGCAACAGGTGTCGGGCATTCGCCTGGCTTTACGAGAAGGCCGCAGCGCTGGCTCAGGTGTTTGCGGTACATAGTCAGAAAGACCCAGCTCCACGAGCCAGGTTCGAGACGGTGTATCGTGGCACAAAGCTTGCAGCAGTGCAACAAGTGTGTCCGCAAACGAGAGAACCTGTCACGAAAAATGAAGCTTGTGATTGGCAGGCATCCGCTTTATACCAATTGCATCGCAGTGTTTTTTTTCCGGAGCAGTTTGGTGATGCTATGGTGTTCTGATATTCGCGGTAAACAGATCCAGGACACTGAGCCTGCGCAATGGATCCCCGGGTTCGATTTTCTCTACTTGCCCTCTTGCAGCAATCTCCTGCAAATCAAATTTACCTTTCGTATTTTGGGGATATCTCCATCATTTGGTATACAGCCATCACTTTGCTCCATATTTTTTGAAATTTATATTGTCCTATATAAATTTAGAACAATTATCGTCTCCTAAGCTCAGAATGATATTGAGAGATATATTAATAATTGAAATTTCATTCATGAAATTTGAGTATATACATATCTGAGTCACAATCTAAAATTTGAAATTTGGTTTGATAGTTTCTTCTGTCTTGAAGGGACATTCTTGAGGAGTAGTCTTTGGGAAAGCAGGTCATATATGTGGTTACAAGTCGAAATTTCCAAGACTGCTCTGAAAGGGAGTCGTATTCTCGGTTTGATGCCTCTTTATGTTCAAGTGACCCTGTAAAGACCGGGTACTGTTTGAGCCATACTATCCTTAAATCTATTCTATAAAACAAAACTTTACAACTCGCCCTTATTCGTGTGGCCACCCTTCGGGTAAGGAAAAGAGAATTTACAGGCCCTACGCTCTCCCAAGTCGCATGAAACTTACTCTCCTGTTCGGCTTCGGAAATTTTGGAAATCCATTCTCTAAATTTCTTGAAAATTTGCACATCATAAATTTCGTGAAAATTTAGAGGATGGTTGTAGAGTGCTTCCAAGGTTCACTTCATGTCCTTGTGTGCGACGAAGTCCTAACAACGACCTGAGGCTTAGGTTTTTCGGCCTAGGAAGTAGGCTATGTTGAACAGCAGTTCGAAATTACGCCATCCATATGACGGGGGGGCGGCAAGATGTCGTCATTGTGTTTGATCCCGACTCGGGTACCGTCTTCATCATCAACAGCATGTCAGCACCATCAATGATCATCAACATCATGGTCGTCGAGTTCATATTTACAAGTTCTTTTAGGCTGCGGGCCTTGGGAAAGCTAACAAACCGACCCAACAATGCTTCGTTGAGCAGCAGCCTGCTCTTTTAGGTTGCTCGCCCCAGTTGCGTACTGGACTCACCAGATCTCAGGCTCGCATTAATGTTGGAGATGGTGGCAGCTTTGAGCAGTCAAGTTATTGGAGGTTCGAGGTTCGGAGCTCGCTTCTTCGAACTTCGAACCTCTGAACCTCGAACCCTGAACCGCCAACCTCCAAACTTTCGAACTTTCGATCGAATCTCGAATTCCGAACCCAGACCCCGAATTTATCTCGAACGCGAACCCCGAACCCCGTTCGCAGTTCGAGGTTCGGGGTTCGAATTCAGGGTTCAGGCTTCAGGGTTCCGGATCGGGATTCGAGGTTCAGGTTCGAAGAGCTCGGAGTTCGGGATTCGAGGTTCGGAGTTCGGGGTTCGGGATTCGGGGGGTTCGGGATTCAGTGTCAGGGTTCAGGTTTGGGGGTTCGAGGTTCGGAGTTCGGGGTTCGGGGGGTTCGGGGTTCAGGGTTCGGGATTCAGTGTCAGGGTTCAGGTTGTGGGGTTCGGGGTTCGAGGTTCGGAGTTCGGGGTTCGGGATTCGCGATTCGAGGGGTTCGGGGTTCAGGGGGTTCAGGTTGTGGGGTTCGAGGTTCGGGATTCGAGGTTCAGGTTTCAATTCGGGATTCGGGTTCATGGTTCGGGGTTTGGGATTAGGGATTCGAGGTTCGGGCCTGAAATACTAGGAGATTTATGCCGATATTTAGATATCGGATCTATTCTATAAATTATTAAAATTATATTAATCGCTAAAATTTGAAATGAAAATCTATTTTTTATATTTTCCGAAAATTCTTAGAATATGATAGAAATTTGAGATTCCATTATATATTGATATGAATTTTTATATATGAATATTTCTAGAAGGTCTAAATTTTTAGATATGAAAAATATGAAATATATGAATATATTTTTATATAAATAATACTAATTTTGAGAAATATATTTTTTTTATTTGCAAATATAAATATATAGGATTATTTATTTTTAATCGGAAGTAGTTATTTGGGGTCTATTAAGATATTATTGAAGATTCATAAATTAGAATTTCTTTATAGCTTGATGAGATCGTTGCTATATAAGTAGGGCTCGGGAATTAATATCTTTGTTTGGCTATTTTCTTTTATTTTTCTTTTTTTGATTGCGGAATTCCGCTCCCTTCTCACTAAATAATTGTGCGAATTTGGGCACGCATATCTTCGATTATAAAGATATATTTTTTTATTTTTATATTCCATATTATAGTGGTCTCATTAATTACGCTGGCAGCATGCTCTAGATAATTTTATCATTTATATCATAAATTTCCAGATTAGCTCCATAAATAAATCATTATATATCATATATATTTAAATAATTATATATAATATCGATATATATATATATTAATATTAGAATAGAAAATTATTTTATTTTATTTTAATATTCCAATTCTCTGAATGCTATATAATTTTTAATATTGAATCTCATATTAAAATAGCCAGGGCGGAGATATTTATATGAATCATGATTTCTATAGATATTGAAACTGAATATTTTGATTATTAATTAATTTGATATTCTTGGATTCGAATATTCTAATAATTTCTAGATATCTGATATATATAAAAATTCTGAATATGAATAGATTAGATTCAATCAATAAGATTCTGTAGTCTGCATATAGGAAATATTTAGAATTGAAAACTTATTGATAAGCTTATGGGGAGGAAAGAAGGGAGAGAAAAATAATTAGGTCCCTATATTTATTTTTGGAGGTCCCTCCCCCCGGGATCCTCCTTTTTGGCGTATTTATTATCCTAATATAGTTTCTTTTATCCAGGCGATATATGAATTTTGATAGATCCAGGATTGATCTCGCACGATAGATAATCTAATCTATATATATTTTTGACTAAGATATAGATATCATCCTTTCTATATATATAGAAATAAAAAATATGATATATATGATAAATTAGATATATCTATTTTTATCTATATATATATATTTATCATATCAATGACTATATATCTAGATTATATATTTTTCAATATATATAGATGAATGAATATATCTATATTCAGATATATTATATATAAATATAAGAATGAATATTTCTATATATATATATAAATAGAATTATATATATATATATTTATATATCAAGATATATAGCTATAAATATATAATCAGATAAATATAAAAAAATAGAAGAATTATAATAATATAGAGGATTAGAATAAGAATTCCAGGGGTTCTATATCGATATTATTCGAATATAATTCTTCCTTTTATATATGATTAAGAAGTAAAGATATTCAAAATAGATTAAAGAATA